CAAATCAAAAAAAAAATTACTGTTCTAAAATGTTATCAAGCTAAGATAATTTTTAAATTGTTTTTTATGCTATTTATTTATTTAACTACACAGACGCTTGAAATTTGGACTATAGGTAGTAAAATACTTGAATTTTTGGGTCATGCACTTTTTTTTTTAATATTATGTTTGTAAGGGCTAATTTAAATGTTTATTTACTATCATCTAATCGAGTCTTGTGTCTTTGTCTTTTTTATTTGGAATTTTTTGAAGCGAAAGACTTCAGATTCACACATTAAGGAAAAAAATTAGTATCTATCAATTTTAACCTTTTTGTTATTGGGGTTAGCATGATGAAATATTAACAAATACCGTATTGCTACTGTTGATAATTTGTTTATTTATTTATTATACACAAATAATTTTTTTTTTCAATTGGCGCTCTCAGTAAGGGTTCTCATCTTGAAATAAACGTTAAAAATTGTTTAAATAGGTGCACTTTAACAACAAAATACAAAACAGCAAGCTGGAGAGCAGCATGAAAAAAATTGTACCATTTTTACATTGTATCAAAATTGATGTGGTACACACTTATTTATTATTTTTCATTAGTTTTTTTTTTTTAATTGTTTTGGTGTACTTTTAAGTATTTAGTAGGTCTTTCTTTACCTTTCGAAATCCCCGCTACGCTCATCAAATTAGGATTAAGAGAAGAGAAAGAAAAGAAGACAAAGAAGTGAAAGAAATAACCGACAGCAGCATTGTGCATCCCATGTCACGAAAACGTACTTTTAATGAAATATAAATAAATTGTACGAATGTATGCGTATCTTCCTTGTATTTCTATTAACGAAAGTATTCTGTATCAACAATTCAATAATACGTGTAAATAAACAATGCCTTTACAACAAAATACAATCTGTGTAAATATAGTATTCATAATTGATTAATACAAATCTATATTCCAAACACCGAATTTCCTACACAAGCAAAATAAAATGGGTTAGAAAATAATGTGTGATCACTGAATCTTACAATTATCTGAAAATGTCTAGTGTTAAAAACAACTCTTCATTTTCATGTATTCTCCAAACTCCATGCCTAAAGAAAAAAAAATTATTTGTTATTAACAAATACTCAACAATAAAAATATGATAGTTGTTAACAATTTACCACGCTACCATAAATAAACATAAAGTCAAAATCGGATCACAAATGACCGCGATACATATTTTTTTCCTCAACGTGTGAATTTAAAGTCGTTTAATTGAAAAAATTCTAGTAAAAAATGACAAGCGTCTTTGTGACTCGATTGTACGGTTGTCAATAAACATTTAAATAAGCCTTTACAAACATAATATTTAAAAAATATATATATATATGACCAAAAAATTCAAGTATTACAGGGGTTATCGTGGTAAAATACGTGTTAAAAATTTGGTGTATCAAAATCCAAGCTGATTGTACACCCTTCTCTTCCCGTAACGATAAATTTTTATGAGTAAATGTATTCGTGCATGCGCAGTTCGAGTCTATCTGTTTGCGTTTCGTAGTCATCTGTTTGCTTCATTTTCATCAAATTGTAGGAAAAATGTGCTACTTTACATTGCAACATCTCATAAACTATAAAGCTAAGCCTTCCAAAATTTCGGACAATGCTTCTTAATATAGTCAGCTTCAACATACTAGTTTTTTACGAAAATCTATAAGTAATCAAACGAGTTCTATTAAAATACGTATCTTTGGCAGCGAGCTCGCGACGACCTCTCCATAAGAGCTCGTGTATAACAGAAAAAATTTAAGTTTTTTTTCTCAAAAACTACAAAGCTAGTTCCTCTAAAATTTTAATATGTTATGTGTAGTGATAAAATAAGTGTCTCATAATTTTTTTTTTTAATTCTATAAAAAATGAAANATAATTAACCATAAAAATAATTTCCGTTTGGGTGCTTCTGATCTTTTGGAGGAATAACATCAAATTTATCAATAATAATTGGTTTTTCTGACTTGTTATATTTTTCATCTTTTTATTTCATTGTTAATCGAATCAAGGTTAAAAAGAAATTCAAGTATACCAAATAGGTTATTTAATGGTACAAGATAAAGAGTTACTGAGGTAAGTAGGTATACAATAAAGAGTAACTAAAGTACAGCGTAGATGGAGAAGTAACAATTAAAGAAAAAATTTGATATCCAGTTCTTATTCCAAGAATTAAACATCAAATATTGAAATAGACTCTTAAGTACTTTTTATTTTACATCATAAGCAATTCTCAATAACTGTGGAATTTCCTATGGTTATTAAGAAATTTCAGGTTAAAAAATTTTATTATGTAGGTTCACACTTAAGAAAACCTTTGTTTTCTGAGAGCCAATCATACTTAGCCTTTTCAAGATGCAAGTATAAAAATAGTACATTCATTTAAGTATATAGCCTTAGTTTTGTTAGAGTAAATAACGTTTCTTTTCTCATGGGCCACTTATACCTAGTTTTTAAATGGGTTTAAGTAACGGAGAAATACATAGTTTTTTCTTATTTTATAGAGAGTTGCTTTGGGAGTGTTGTAGAGCTTTTGTGAACCGTCCCACACTAATTATCATGTAATATAGAGATATTCAACTCTCACTCTATAACTTGTACCCGATATAATATATAATATCCTTGCGAGACGGCTGACGACAAGGCTATAGCAGTCTCCTAGTTTTCCGCACTTACGAATGGCTACTCTCTCATGTTAACAGAGTAATGAGTGGATCTTCGGGACAATGTGAACTAGAGCGATCCTCTAGGTAAGGTAACTGATAAGCCGGCTGAGCTTTAAGGCAGTACATACTAAAGCGATCCTAAGGCATTGGTAAATTTTTGAGCCCAAAAGTAGTGTAAGAGAGTATATACTTGTACATAATGGAGTAAGTAACACCGAAATATTGTGTACTGTAGTCAGGAGCATTGCGAACCTGGCTTCGTCCTTACATTGTCTCACTGAGATGTCTCGTAATACGTATTGAGGCCAGTACGAATCCAACTTTGTACCTACGAACCCTTATTGTCTTCTATCCTTTTTAAAGGTGTATCCTATACGTACTTACACAGATGAATACATAACGTCATGTCTACGAACTCCTCTTAAACCTTATAAATCTATATATAAGTATAACCCTTACAATCTGAAAAAATTAGAATAAGTTATAAAATTACTATTTTAATCAATTGTTATTTTTTTCCTTCAAATCGGGTATCAGAGTGTTTCGTCTCTTTATGATTTCTTAGGGCTACTAGCGGTGACTACAATGGTTTTTTAGTTTTTATATTGCTCGATATAAAAAAATTTGTATGATTATATTATGTCATATGATGTATTCAATTATTTAAAACTTGAGGTGTAAAATAAATAATAGAATCAAAAGAAAAAGTTATGGCACCTAAGATTGTATACTTATGCAAGTTCCAATAAAATGATAACTGTATTAGATTTTCTTTGATATTCTTGTCGACAGATAATCGGTCTTAAAGAGATAACTATATACAGCTGAGGAAAACAGTGGATTTAAATGTATTGCAGAAGGTGGAGTGAGAAAAATACAGAACAATTGTATTAGATAAAAATAACAGATACATTTATTAAATTTTTTGCAATTGGAAAGAAAACGGACATGACAAAAAATATGACTAATGTTATTCAGTGAAATATCTGACAAACCTATGGAATTTTCCTCAATTTCGCAAGGGGGAGGGTGCTGAAGCAGCGGTATGTGTTCTGAATACAGTGCTGAGGATTCTGGGGTTAGGTTAAAGGGAAAGAAGCTGAAAATCAGGCAGTTGAGTTCCTAAGGGATGATTGTACGGTGAGGGTTTAGGGGTCACAAAAAAAAACGAAAAGTTTAATTGGGTCAAACTACCGAATAAATGTACGGGATTTTTTCATATTTTACAAGCGGGTCCTGAAAGAGGTCTCTAATAATTGTGCAGATTGACTAAGCTCTGCAGACCCCAGATGTAATTTTATTGGGTTAAAATAACAAAGATAAAATAAGACTTTTTTTATTTTGTGAGGGTAAAGGGAGGTTGGTTGAGCAGAGGTGAAGGTAGTGTAGAATATCCTAACTTAACAACCACATTTTATATAAAGATATTTATTATAAATTTTTTTCAAGTATGCAGTACGTACTCTAACAAATGTTTGTGACTGCGAATACGCAGTACATAATTGTTGTTACTCTTTTTACAGCACTCAGATTGCTTGACTTGCCACGTTCATATTTTCAAGTTACTCCATGATTGCTTTAATATCTTTTAGACCTTCTAAGCAGCATAAATATCTTAATTGAGAAAATTTTATTAAACAAAGAATCCAATAGAGAGCTTATTGTTAAAAAAAAAAAAAAAAA